TTCGGGTTAAAGTGGGACCAGCAGAAATACTCTTCCGCCTGGCGGAAAGTCCTCCTCGCCCTCTTTCTTTCATGTATGGGGAGGCGAGGGGAAAGGTCCCCTTTTGCGCCGGCTTCTTCTGATAGGATAAGCCGAGAAAATCCCCAATCTGAGCGACGGGTGATGGGTGCGGCAGCAGCGATCGCCCGCCGCGCAGTCACCGAATTCCGCGCAGTCACCACTTCTCGCGCATGTGTTTTGAGCACCTTGATCAACCGAAAATATCTATGAAACGTTCCTTCAATAGGTGCGGGGATGCATCGCAGCTCTCAAGTCTGCGTTTACTTTGCCAGGGGCTAAACCAAAGACCTTCGACAGTTGAAATTCGGTGACTGCGCGGGCGCAGCCTTGCAGCTCCGTAAAACCTACACCCGAGGGGCTAGGTTTGGTGAGCGCCAAAAAATGGGGCAGATTACGCGGTAGGAGCTGAAGCTATTGTAAGTCAAGAGGTCGCTGCTGCCGCACCCATCGTCCGTCGCTCGGAATGGGGATTTTCTCGGCTTATCCTCTCAGAAGAAGCCGGCGCAAAAGGGGACTTTCCCCTCTTCTCGCCGTGCTACAATACAAGAAATAACGAGGGCGAGGAGGACTTTCCGCCGGGCGGAAGAATATTTCGGCTGGTCCCCCTTTAAGGCTTACCTTCGTGCACGATGATGGCACCTGTCATCCAAACAGTACCAAAGCAAAACACGAGGCCAGCCACTGGCCGCACACCACCACACCGCGAAAGAGGCGAGCTGGCTACACCGCCGACACCGTGGTCGCCGAGGAGGGACCTCATACCTACGATGCTCATATTTCAGCGCCCTCCACGGCGGCGCGGAAGTAACTACTTCTAGTTCGACACTACCGCCGAACACGATCTGGTCGCTCGCTCCGCGCGAGAAGAGTGGCCAGAGTCATCACCGAAATGTGTTTCTTCCACCGTGGTATGAATCAACAACTTGCCCAAGCTCAAGTATTGCTATTCAAACTTGGCGGGCTAGACAATCTGGAAGCAAGACTCGACTGCAGCACTGCTAGTTCTCGTGACCGCCACTGAGCCCACGTCGCAGGTGGAGCTGTGAAACTGAGCTTGCTCCAGTAACGTTGCCCACGGCAATATGAAGCGATGGACATGAACGCCGGTTGTCAAGACGGGCTCACTGCCACTGCCGCGGAGTTCCCGACGAGTCCAACGGCGGGTATGACCTCGATTCTCACGCCCCAACGCTTCAAGTGCCAGAATACTTTGTTTGTGGTGAGTCCGCACAACCAACTCTAAACTAACCAGGCTCTGATGAGCAAGCTTTGAAGATGATTCTCTCGAGTATATCGAAGGAACATCTCACTGAAATTGTGAAAAATATCCTCGGAGACTCGCATATAATATCGTGCCCAAAGGCAAAAAAAAAAAAGCGGACCACGAAAAAGGCAACCCAAAAAGAAACCGAAGCACAGATGGCGACGGATTCCCCGGAAAAGAACAGAGAAACGAAGTGCGATTCTAGCGCCGCCGCTCCGGTTGCGGAAAGCAGAACGTCACCTTTCAAGAACGCAGAGTCGGGAGGGGGCGCTCTGGCGAACCCTACCGAAGAGAAAGAAGACGAGTGGAAGACAGTCATTAGCAAAAGGGAAAGGAAGCGTCTCCGCGGAGATTCAGCTCAACTTCCAAGAACCTTCGAGAGCCAAAACTCCGAAGAAGTATCAGTACGCGTAGAAGATCCGCCTGACGCGATCTAGAGTCTCAATCCAGGCGCTCCTACCAAAACTGAAGATACACCTCCAAGGCACACAAATATCCGCTGCATTCCCCATGCACCTCATCGAAGAGACCAACACCATCTCGGTCCGCATGGACTCAAAAGAATTGGCCGAATCAATTGAGAAGGTTACGGTGGTCACCATCGAGGAACAGGAAATTCCAGTCCAGGTGTTTAGAACCTATGGCTCAACCTACAACAAGGCTCGACCTACCCCCTCCAAGAAGACCCCCAAGACGACACGCTCAATACCGAGATTGAGTGCGAGAAGAACGACGCAGTCGCGGCTCGGCGGCTCGGGAAATTGAATACTGCAATCCTCACCTTTGACGGTGGATGGCTCACTCGAGTTCCCCTTCAAGCCAAAAGCGGTTACATGCAGCAACTGCCACCGCACCGGACACAAGGCCGACATCTGCCCCAACGATTACGTGTGCCCGCGCTGCGGAGCTCAACACCCATTTCCGACCAGCCCTATGCAGGAACCTGGGTCCCCAGAATCTACCCCTTTCTGCCAAAGGTGCCAGAAGAAGGGCCATCTTGGGACAAACCGCCAATGTCCGACGTGGCAAGGGATAAACAAGAAGATGAGAGAGAGAGAGTGAATAGCTACTGAGAGATGCACAAGCTTCAGCAACAACAGCAACTGCTTCAACAGTGGCAGAATCAACAGCAGCTGCAGCGACAACAAGCTGAAGCCGAGGTCAGGGCAAACAGAGTGCCGATCTCCCCAAGCGACTTCTTGTGGGTCAATAAAGTGAAGCAAGGCACAATGCCGTAACCGCCGTTCAACGCGATGGCCGAAATTGAAGAACTACACAACAAGTTCAACTTCCTGAAGGCAGAGCTGGACAGGGTCAACGCGGCCCTCAAGACACAGCAAGAGGAAAACAACAAACGCCAGTCGATCCTGACTCAGGCCAGATCACTTTTCAGCCAGTCCCCACAATAATATGATAAAAGTTCTCCAGTGGAACTGGCGGAGTTTCGGCCAGCGAGCGGCTGAGCTACGACTAAGAATACTGGACGTACCTAACGAGCGCCCTGACGTTCTTTTACTTCAAAAAGCTCACTCCATAAAAATCAAACTTCGGGGGTATTCGTGCTGCGAGATACGATCACCGCAGTGAGAGGACAGACAGACCCGGCGTCCCCATCCAAACCAGGTTATGCAGTGGCCTACGTGCGCAGCGACTGGCCTCAGCACCAAATTGAACTCGGGCGGTTTTGCACTGAAAACCAAGGCGGTGCGAACATCGGTTTATAAGCACTGTTGGGACCGAGGGGGTTCTCCGGGTAGCGTCACGCAGGGCCAGGCCAGGAAAGGAGCAGCGGGCAGACTCCCGTCCAGGAACATGACGAGACGGGAGGGTCTCTCGCAACGAAACTTTGTTTAATACATATGTACAAAGTATTTACAACGTCCGAGAGCACAGATGCGACATTCTGTTTGCCCCTTTTATAGGGTCGCTCTTCGGTACTCTCGCGGCTGGCAGCCAATGGTGGCCGAGCTGCCAACAAATCATGTTCAGGCCCCGCCTCCACTCATCCCCTGAGCACGCACACACCCACATGCACACACTGCAGCTGTGGCCGGACTTTACACTCCGGCGCCGAGGCACCCTTGCCCTCGAAAGCCGCGCCGAGGAGGCGACAGCAAGGGGTCCAGTGTTTGCCCGGGTGACGACGTTGGCCGTGGTAGTGCTGACCCCTCCATCAGACGGCGTTGAGGCACGGGAAAGGGCTTGGCCGGATCATCCGCAGGTGGCGTCCGGGGATAATCCCACCCTCACGGAGGTCCCGCAGCTGGCGCGTCGTTACCCGGAATCCTGGCCCGGTAATCCTCCTGTTCTTAAGTCGGCTGACCCCGTTTCGGACCAGCGTTAACGCAGCCAGAAAGAAGGGTCCGGCTTAGCTCCGCGCCTAGGTGGGGCGACGCCAACACGGTGGTCCCACGGCACCCCCTTGTCGCCTCTCGCCTCGTTTCCGGGCAAGCCGACCGGAGCCATGTGGCGATGCTACTCAATGAGTTCACCGTTGCCGGACGGATTAGATAGGGAGGGTCTGGTCCGGGGCTTTTCCGTTTTCACAACAGCTCCTCCGCCGCTGGGAAGAGTGTCTTGAAGGGGAGCGGTCCACACTGGTCCCTTGAAAGACGCGGTCTCACGGCAAGGCTGGCGACTGAGGTCCAGGCTGGAGTCAACTCTGGGAAGTGACAGTAACGCAACCCACAACACCGAACCAGACTCCGCGCAGCCGAGCGCCCAGCCCTCCATACCTTCAATCCGCCAGACCACTCTCAAACAACAATAAAAAATGCCACTTGAAAGTTCCGTGCTATTCTATCAACGAAAGACACACAGAAACTTATTTCCTACGACAGGTTGCTTTAGCGAGAGAAACCTTTGTAGACCAATAAAAGCCCTCTAACGCCCAACCCAAAATAAAACGGGCTCCCGTGAAAACAAAACCACATTACAAACCGGAACGTAACTCACATAGGGTATATCCCTATTAAATTTGATCACGTCCTCCGTAATGCAATCTCTACTGAGGAGAAGACCGCTTTAAAGGAACAACGCTAACACAACAAGCTAAAGTCGAAAGAAACGCAAAACTCGGACTCCCGAAAAAAGAAAAGCTAATAACCTTGCCGAATAACCTAATCGACTCAATTACACTAAAAAAACACATTTAGCCCTCCCTTTTCCCCTCAAAAGTCCCTCTCTGCATCTAACCTACGCCCAGTTTGTCCTTGGCTTCACTCGAACTGTTCAAGCTTTTCTCCTTGGACTTGAGTGCAGGCCCGAAGTTGCAGTCCCAGAGATCTCCCTTAGTCTCCGCGTCCGACGTGACGCCTGGCTGAACCACGGGCGATGAGCTGTGACTCCGTCTGGAACCTCGCCGAGTCGTTCCAGGCTCGTTGTTGCCTTCTCCAGGATTCTTGCTCGTACTTGAGCTGTGGGTCCGTGGCTCGTTGGGATGAGGGTCCTGGAGTTTTCCCCCTCCCAGCCTCGACCACTTGTCGACGTTCTCCTGGCACCTGGACTCCGTGAATGGTCTGGAGTCCGGGCTCCGCAGCCGCACCAGGCAGGTGTGCTTGATCTCGTCGAAGGAAATCCCGACCACCTCCCTCCTGGTGGGCCGCTTGGACTCCTGTGGCGGCGCCGTGGGCTTGTCCTCAAAGCCGCACGGGTGCCGATCAGAGCGGTCAGGATCCTATCTTGATTGCTGGACCGCTTTCTCCGGCATCTCGGCGCTGCTCTCCATGAGCTGGATGAACTTCCCCGGCGTCGCCTCTGTCTTGGCGTCGCCTTCGTCATCCGGGAAGCCGCCGCTGGACGCCCGAAGAGCCTTCTCTTCTTTCCCGGGATCCCGATCACTCTCAGCTTCCTGCAGCTTGGCTGTTGGGTAGATCTTGTGCGGAACGGCGTCGGTCTTCCGTGGAACAGCGTCGGTCGCGTCAGAGGAAACATGCTGGTTTGCGGTCACCTCGGTGACCCCAGCTTCCATTTTCCTCTTTTCCTGACACACCACTTCTGTTGCTGCTTCCACGTCACTCTCACCGTCCCGCCGCTCGGAGTTCGGGTCGGGCTTGCGAAGAACGGTGACGGCCGTGTCGGGAGAAAGACGCTGGTCTCCGGTCATCCCAGTGTCCCCAGCTCCCACTTTCTCCTTTCCCTGACACGCCTTTCCTGTCACCCCTTCAACGCCTGGTGTTTGCCGACGAAGACACTCAACCTCCCGCGCTTTTTTCGCGAGCTCTAGCTGCTCGAACTCGTAGTCGAGCCGCTCCATTTCGCGCTTATACTCGCTCTTCTCGAGCTCCCATCTCGCCGTCTCGAGAGCCTTCTCGTCGGCCCGCTTTCTGCGTTCCTCCTCGCGAACCTCCTGTTCCCTTTCGCGAGCCTCCTGTTCCCTGCCGCGAATTTCCTCCAAAGCCTCTGTAAACTCCTCAACGCTGACGTCTACGGCCTGAAGGAGTTTTATGATGTGCGGCTTCCTTTTTCTCTGCCCCAAATCTATTCCTAATTCGGTACAGACCTGTACCAAGTCGTACCAGCGGAATGCCTCCAAACTCATGATCTAGCTGTGTTGGCTCTCTTTCTTACAAAATGCTTGCGTCAGAGCGGTCACACAGTCCTTCTGACAACGACTATCTCCAACCCCCACAGGCAAAACTTAGAGCTAATGGGTCTGGCAGATTGAGAAAGAGAGGGCCGGGCACTCACCCACACAAGAAGTCATGGTCCGGCGAAGTCGATAACGCCGCTGCCATCCAGTTGTTGGGACCGAGGGGGTTCTCCGGGTAGCGTCACGCAGGGCCAGGCCAGGAAAGGAGCAGCGGGCAGACTCCCGTCCAGGAACATGACGAGACGGGAGGGTCTCTCGCAACGAAACTTTCTTTAATACATATGTACAAAGTATGTACAACGTCCGAGAGCACAGATGCGACATTCTGTTTGCCCCTTTTATAGGGTCGCTCTTCGGTACTATCGCGGCTGGCAGCCAATGGTGGCCGAGCTGCCAACAAATCATGTTCAGGCCCCGCCTCCACTCATCCCCTGAGCACGCACACACCCACATGTACACACTGCAGCTGTGGCCGGACTTTACACTCCGGCGCCGAGGCACCCTTGCCCTCGAAAGCTGCGCCGAAGAGGCGACAGCAAGGGGTCCAGTGTTTGCCCGGGTGACGACGTTGGCCGTGGTAGTGCTGACCCCTCCATCAGGCGGCGTTGAGGCACGGGAAAGGGCTTTGCCGGATCATCCGCAGGTGGCGTCCGGGGATAATCCCACCCTCACGGAGGTCCCGCAGCTGGCGCGTCGTTACCCGGAATCCTGGCCCGGTAATCCTCCTGTTCTTGAGTCGGCTGACCCCGTTTCGGACCAGCGTTAACGCAGCCAGAAAGAAGGGTCCGGTTTAGCTCTGCGCCTAGGTGGGGCGACGCCAACACGGTGGTCCCACGGCACCCCCTTGTCGCCTCTCGCCTCGTTTCCGGGCAAGCCGACCGGAGCCATGTGGCGATGCTACTCAATGAGTTCACCGTTGCCGGACGGATTAGATAGGGAGGGTCTGGTCTGGGGCTTTTCCGTTTTCACAACAGCCCCACAACATCATATTCGTATCGGTCTACTACAGGCCGGGCATCAAGAAGGTCGACCACGACTGGATCGCTCACCGACAGTGACCACTTCCCGATAGTAATCGAGTTGTCGTCAACTTGTAAACTGAAGGACTTCACGATAAAGAGGAAGGTGCACTGGGATAAATTCAAAGAACTCCTTACAGGAGACGACTTCGCAGACTCCAGCTTTGAAGATATCCTGCACAACGCGCTCCAAGGGGCTATCATAGAATCCAGCGTCGAAGAAGATGCCCCTACACCCTACCTTCACCTTCTCAAGCTCTGGACTAAGCGGCTTCAGTCGGTACAAACGTACCGCAAGGGTCGGAATTTCCCTGCAGCTCGCCAAGCCATCACGGGAGCTACGGTGGAGGCTAAAGTGTACGCCAGGAAACTAGAAAACAATCGATGGTTGGACTTCAGCTCCACGCTTTCCAAGAAATCCTCCGTCATGAGACTTTGGATCACAAGCCAGGCACTTCTTGGGAAGGCAAAAACCAAAGGAACGTTTCATACGTTAGCGCTCAAAGTGGACGAGTCCGAAGATGAATTGTCGAATTTGGCTGGCGATACGTTCTTTCCTCAGCCGGACCTTGACGGAAAGACTTGGAAAGAGATGTACTTCAAAGAAATTACAGTCCCGGACAATGGTATGGACCGACCGTTTACGAAAGGAGAACTCGAGTGGGCCATCCACAAGAGCAAGTCCCGATCGGCGCCAGGACCGGACAAGATCACCCCAACAATGTTAAAAAAATTTAAATCGCGAAACTTAAGCTCTTGGAATGTATCAACCATATCTGGAACACAAGGAAATTTCCGGCTCACTGGAAACATTCCTTCGTAATTCCGATTCCAAAGCCAGGGAAGGCCAAGGGAGACATCGGCAATAATAGACCCATCTCAATGACTTCCTGCGTTTGCCAAACCATGGAAAGGATGGTACTCACCCGCATGGAATCGTTTCTGGAATCTATCAGTGCCTTCCACCCTGCACAGACCGGCTTTCGCTTCGGCCTGGGCACACAAGAAGGCCTGATTCTCATTTCGACCGGGATTATCCGAAGCAAAGGAAGCAAGCTCAAACACCCAGGCGCGATTGTTGCAATCGACATCAAAAAAGCATTCGATTATGCACCCTACGAATCGATCATTCGAGAAGCAAAGAGACTGGGACTAACAAGCAGAACCTTGAATTTCATCAAAAGTTTCTTAGAAGCAGGGTGGCCAGTTCCGCTTATTATAAGCGGATTTGGGCTTCTTTTTTCACCGAATCGCTGGTAGATTTTTCCAGCTGCTTGTCGCGTTTTTTTGGGCTTATTCGCGTTTTTCCTGCAAATATTGCTATTTTAATGCTCGTCGTGCTCACTGAAAGCGCGTTTGTCGAGATGGCTGAGTCCAATCTAAACGCCGAGAAAGAAAGAGATGTAAAATTGAGATGCCGGGGCTTCATTTTGGAGGCTGCAAGGCAAGTACAGCTTAGGCTTCTAACCAACATTCTTCTTTGGAACTCCATAAAATCATTCTCGCCGGAGAGCGTACTCTGCCAGGTAAAATCGACCCTTCAGGATGTGCCCCTCCTCAAATTGTTCAAGGGAAATATAGGTCTCCTGGACACTCAGTATAGATCGCTGTGCGGTCCTCCCTTGAAAAATGCAAACAAACAAGACTGCGTTTCGTTCTGGATAGAAGTGTTAGATTTCACGGATGCAAGCGGTAAAAGTTGTTTCAAAGAAGTAGCAGAATTCGCTCTGTCGTTGTTGCCCATGCCCCTCAACAATGCCTACGTCGAGCGCGTGTTCTCACACATGAACGTTGTGAAGTCGCGCTACCGTAACAGAATGAAGAATCCCTGTTGAGCGGCATCCTGCACGTACGTTATGGCCTCAAGTTTCGAGGCATCTGCTGCCAGGACTTTAAACTGACCGGAAAGATGTTGCAGCTTTTCAACTAAAAAACATGTATGGTTCAGCAGAAGCGGAGGCTGAGGATTTTTCAGATGAGTCGGACACATCCTACGATGACTGTGTGTCGTTGAGGCGTTGATCATGCACTGACATGATTAACATAATTAGTTGCGTTTTACTTCGCCTTCGTAGATAAGCGAGTTTTCTTTCTCATTTTATAATTAATAAACTATTTTCAAGAATCTGTGTCTTTATTGAACTTCCGCTTGTTTTGGGCTTGTTCACGAAGGTCCCACCGCTTTTGTGGGCTTGGTTAAGGACGACTATTTGCTTGTTCGCTCGGCCGCATCTGGCCACCCTGCTTAGAAGGGAGAACACACTCGATCGCTCGTGGCCTTACCGAAAGAGGTAACACTTGAGTAAACCGGATCGGGGTCCCGCAAGGTTCTGTACTCTTACCGACCTTATTCAACATAGTCATGGCCGCCCTGCCACACGAACTCGCCAAGATCGAAGACCTAGGATTCACGGTGTATGCCGACGACGTTACCATCTGGTCGAAGAATCACAGGAGCATAGCTGCGCAGCAAGAACCTTTACAAAACGCACTGAACGTGATTGAAGCCCATTTGGCCTGGGCCGGGGTGAAAGCTTCACCAGAAAAGACCAACTACACCGTCGTAGCATCGAAAGCACTTCCAGACGACAAGATCGCAGAGCAGCTGAACCTCGTACCTGCCGGGGAAAGGCTCCAGCCATCTTCCTCGATCAAGATGTTGGGAATCACGATTGAGGAAAACGCATCTGCAGACGCTTGGCTAAAAGACACAATTAAACACTGCAACTCGGCACTTAACACCATTAGGCGGATATGCAGTGCCCCAGGAGGCGCAACAGAAGCGATTGCCAAGAGGATGTACACGGCACTTGTAGTATTGCGAGTGTGCTATGGCGCCAGGCACTTCAGGCTCGGGAAGGGACAGTGGCAAAGACTGGAAACCCTTAACAACCAGGCAAGACGGGTGATCACGGGTCTTCCGCAGTTTACCCACATGGACAAGCTCCGGACTTTGGCCAGCATAAATTATCTGTACGACATTGTCAACGCTCGCATGGAGGCCCTGGACTAAAGGCTCGAGCTCACAACCCAAGGCAGGGCCATCATGGAACTTCTGGGAAAGACTACTGACCACCTCCCAGAAATCCCCGCTAATCTGCCTCCTTGGGAAGACCTGACGGAGATCACCAACAGCAAGCCCTCACCCCGCAAGGGAGACGCCGAGCAAGTTGCAAGACGAGCCAAGGCGCACATCAAGGGGGCTGAAAGCTGGGACCCGTACCACACTGTTGCTGCCTACACGGACGTGGCAAGCTTCGAGGAACCGATACCCCGGAAATCAATCGCAGCCTATTTCCCGGCATTAAACAGAAATTATCACCAAGATGTCCCAGCCACGTCCTCTACAAAGCAAGGAGAACTACATGCTATCCACTTGGCACTAGTAAATGCATGCATTAACTCTCAAAGTATACCAGCGAATCTTCGGATTTTCTCGGATTCACAGGATGCCATCAAGGAGTGCAGAACCAGAAACAGTCCTTGCGGACTTATCCGCCCTATCAAGAATCTTGTCTCGCAACTTGTAAATGGATGCGTACAAGCAAGAATTGAATGGGCCCCGGGCCATGCGGGAATCCCAGGAAATGAAGCAGCAGATCGAATGGCCCTGTCGCGCTTTTTAACTCCGGGCATGTAGAGCTGCCTCCAGTACAACACGACCACGGGTTTGTTCCGGCTTGTGACCAAGCACCAACCCCCATGAACTACGAAGACGAGTACGATCCCGGAGAAGCCAGGATCCGAATAAAGACAGAATACAAAACTAAAGTTGAAGAGAAAATCCCCGAAGACCCTGATCCTCTACTCGGGAAGGGTTTCGGTCGAAGGGCGGGAGTACTCCTACTAGGAATAATGGCTAAAGCGACAATAGACCCGGCCAGAATCGCGACCTGGGGAAAAAGAAAGAAATCCGTCCTTTGCAACAGG